GCATCCTTTCCAAACAACTAATTCTATCTTTACATTCGTCACCATACATTCCCAGGTCCTATTACCTGGCCTCAAAGCTCTCCTGACTTCAATTCTCTGGATTACTTTCTCTGGGGTATAATAAAAAATTCAGTCTACAGACATTCAGTCAACGATGCAGAAGATCTGGAAGACCACATAAGAGCTGTGTTTGCAAGCATTTTACCAGAAATGGTGGACAGAGCATTGGATAATTTTGTATGCAGACTTCAATGCTGCCTTGACCATGATGGTGAACTTTTTAAGTAGTATTTAAAATTTTATAAGTTTATTTTTGTAGTACTTTACTTTTTAATTCTTGTTTTTTTTTATTATATCGGTTTTGGTACATTTCCATTACTTATAGTTTAAGTTCACTTATATATCTACATGAGAAAACAAATATAGTCTACTAACTAACTAACCGTCATAATTAATAACCATATACCTGGCTATCCAATCATTAAGCTTTTATTTGTAATGAAAATCAATCGTACTATGCTGACTTAGGATACGTAGTCTATTGTAACTCTTACGAAGCAAAGATAATCCAAGTTACTACCACCGAAGTTTTGGTCTTTTCAATAAGAGTACATGTTGAAATAATAAATGATGCCAGACTACCTCTCCAATGACATTATTATAGCAAATTAATTATGGCTTTCAGTATTTCTACTGTTGATATTATTAAAGTTAATGAATTTTGTTCATGTAACTACTGATCTGTCACAACATAGCATAATGAGCTTGAAACGGTGATCGGAGAGCATCTCAGCGTACAATGCCTTGATATACGCAACATGCAGTAGCACTATTGTATAATAATTGTGAACTTATATAAGTACTTGATCAGTCAGGCTCCCTTCTGAGGCTAATTTATGTATTTTTTAGTTTTTACCGTCGACTGTTACCACATCCTAAATCTTACTCATGCGTGTATATCATCCATTAAATTTTAACGTAAAACAAAGCCTTTGAGTGCTACGTGGGAGTTCTAAGATTTACTCTATATTTTTTCTGGAGTTAGCAGATATAATAAATGATAAATAATTACAGTAAAAAACGGAGATATCAAGAAAAAGCTTATAAAATTAGATTTTAAATCTCAAAGCTGCAACAATAACAATGAGTATGAAGACACATAAAAAAATGGCTTTGTCTGTAAAAGAAATAACTGCAAGTATCCCACGAGCTCACATTTTCGTGAAATCGCCATATTATACCTGTACTATACAATAAGTTATTAGCCCTAAGAAATTAATTTTAACGGGGTTTGCTTCAGAAAAAATCGCTCCACACACTGTTTTCGAAAAATTTTACCGTTACATATCAGGCTGGATGTACACTGCAGCTAATAATCTTGTGATACATGAAAAATATTTCCATTGTAAACACCATTTTTATACAGATGTAGTTTTGACACAAGTATGGCAAAGCTGCACAGCATAGATAAAACTTTATGATTGAACAGCTCATTAGCTGCAGTGTATATATACACACACATTTAAACTTACGTATGTATAGGTAGTTATCAGCTGCGCAGGCAACAAGTGCATGCATACTGCAGAGCATATAGTTTAAAAACAAAAAGTGAGAAAAACGAATGCAAGACTACAACAGACTAAGCTCCATCGCCACTTTGCGTTTTGCCCATAGTTTTAGTTAATGTGTTAATGGTGTCGACTCTCTGCTTTAAAACCATGAATTTCTGGCACTTGGCTCATGTCTCATGATGACATTATGGCATAGACACTGGCCATGCCATAGCTACATAGCAGCTGGCGCTTAGCTCGTAGCAACTACAGTAAAAGCGTATGTCGTGCGGCAAAGGCTCATTGCATTGACGATCTCATGCGATAATGCCATTTTTTTCTCTGTGGGTACAAAAGTTAAAATTTATCTCTCTTTCTCTCTTCATCTTTCTCTTTCTCTCTCTTTTACTATCTCTCTTAGCACTGGTATTTTTTTTCTAATCTTTAATAATAGTTTTTTTAATAGAAAAGTTCAAAGATTTTTAATTTTACTTTTTAATGAAATTAAAATAAATGTGATTTATAAGGATGTAGTGCAAATTCTAACTAATCGACTATGAGAGTATGTACGTTTATTAATTTCTTTTCTTTTTTAATTTAATACCTCTACAAATGCAGTTGTATTAAATGACGCACTACTGTATATTAAATTTGGTAACTATGGCTTTTTCAACACGCTGATATGTATAATATGTGTGCTTGATGTCCGTGTGCAACTGTGTACATGTGAATGCGCCGTTATTGGCGTATAATCGTAAACGCTTTATCACTTTTACACAGAGAGCTAACTCCTACGTTTTACTGCAACGAACAAGTATAAGTCTTTTGCGTGCGCAACAGTATACACATCCATGTGATTAAAAGTCAAACTTACTTGTATTTAGTCATCGCTCTCTGTATTACTTTTTGCTTTTTCTATTTACAATAAAAATTGTTTATACTTATGCGCTTGCCTTCTTTCACTACAATACCTCAATAGATTATGGGTCAAGGTCCATGACGAGGCGAAGCATAAGAGACGAAAAAGTTGGTCAAAAGTGGGTGCGTATGTAAAAGACCAGCAAGTTAGTGTAAAACCGTGAAAGTTAGTCCAAGATGGCCAACGAACTATTGAACTGAACCATCCTCGGGGAACGTTAAGAAGCTCGATGGTTCAATTTTTCAAACATGGAAATTCAAGCTGCTTAACCTTTTGATTGTTCACGTCATTAAGGAAATCGTCTTAAAGGAAAGAGTGGTGCCCGTGGACCATACGACCAAAAAGAGTAAAGCCCGGGTTAAAGACAACGCCAAAGCAGAATACTTTATCTCATTAATAATGGATCCTGCTTGAATAAGCTATGTAGATCTTACAGACCTAGTAAAAATAGCAAAAATCCTTGCAAGTCTGCCATTCAAATACAGAAGTTTTCGGAGTGCGTGGAACTGTGACGAGTTAGACAGGCAAAAAATAGAATATTCACAAGCAAGGCTTTTTAAAAAAAAATTAATTCTAGAAAGTGACCTCGAGGAAGCAACAGCTGCCCTTACGATAACAGTTTAAGAAGGTGGGATGTGTTGTGATTCAAAAGATGGCGCCAACAGTGGTCAGATTGAAGCAAGTAAGAGAGACGCAGCGTTAGCCCACATGACTTTTTACTGAGAATATTTGGTTAAATGCTGACTGAGAGAAAATAGTTGCACAATCTTGCTAGAAGACAGTGGCAAGTGTAACATCATCAGAGAAGGAGCTCTCATAGTAAAACGACTGACTCAAGATAAATGGGAACTCGCTTCCATGCAAGATATGCTACACGTACTAAGTGTCACGAACAACCTTCTCTAAGTCAGTACGTGTACTAAAGAAGGTTTTCAGGTTACGTTTAATGGTAATGCCATCCTATTCTGTATATAAAACAAGACATATGCGATTGGCATTTAACGAAAAAACATTTTGTGCAGGATGTTCTTGTAGACTATTATTCCAACGGATAAGGCAAGCAAACGTGTCAGAGGCCAGCCTAAAGTGTTGGCATAAAAAATTAAACCACCTCAACGCAAAAGTTATCAGACAGAGATTAAGTGAGGGCTTGTATCCAGAGCCATAATTAATGAGGGCACTACTGTCTTTCGTGACTCGTGCCAGCTTAGGAAGGTACTAAATTCAAGGTCCCAGTCAATCTGGCTCAAATTTTTCTGTGTTGTAGATGAGAGCCTCTTGAACAGAACTTATCATAAATACAAGTCCCAATAACAGACGGATTTTAAGACAACAATTGTTAAAGACTTTGTTTGTGGTAAAGGTTAGTTTGACAGGCATCACAGTAGAACGGACATATATCACATTTAACATACAGGATAGCGTATGAATGACCCGTGTTTACATACTACTCATCTGATTACACCAGCTGCCAACATGCATAACCTTATGTAAATGATCTCCAGACGGTAGCACAAGAATAGCTGTATGAGAAACCTTCGTACGTATCATCGTGTACATATGTGCCTCTTTATAGCCCGAAGTAACAGGGCAACCATTAGGTCTTTTGTATTTGCCTTGCTTTGCAAAAGACGTGCTGTGTTTTTCTAGACGATTCGGTAGACACCTTTTTTTCCCTGACAATGAAGCATGAGTAAAATACTTTTATTTTAATGACACCACAGTCTCATGGTCATGGGTGCACTCCAGCTGTATAAATGATGCGCTTTTGACACGAATTAACTAGTTTTACATAGCTTATCTTCTTTTAACTGTAACTAGTATAACTTACAAACTTACTCTGTATACATCTGTCATTAGTATTAACAAACTCAGTTTTCCAGGACACACTGTACCAGAGCAAAGCCACCCTCTCCTCGTCCTGATTCCACTGCAGCCGTGCATGTGCACACGCTGCTTTCTCCTGGTTCCTACTGTGCTGCTGCTATGTAATACTAGTTAATTCATCACCATTCTGTCTTCTTTTTGTACACGCTACCTAAGTGCGTGCGTGGATACTACCTTCTCCTGCTTCCGGTCACACTGTCACTATATAAACACCAAGCTGCCCTTTTCCTGGCCATGCAGCGCCAGTATATTTCCAGATATCCCCTCTCCTACTCGTAGCCCGAATACTTCACTTGCTTGACAAAAATGAGTACTACCACCTTCTTGCCTTGTTATTGGCAAAAACCACTTATTGACAGTAAAGTTTTATATTTTCTTTTGTGTTCTTCAACTCATACATGGCTTGCGTCTTTATACTTTATCCTACGTGGAAACAAACGGAATCCCAGAATATTCTAATGAAAGTAGCTGTTTATTAAGATCATGTGAGCAATAGAAATAGTACTATTACAACTTTTTTATTAACTAGGGCTAAAATAATTGCAATTTTAAAGCATTTTCAATATTGTACGTCTACATCGATGGGCCGTATATTGCAAAGAAACATCCTAATTTTTGTTTTTGCTTTGTCTTAAGTATGTTGGTTAAGATTTGATTTCTGAAAACAGCGATAGTAAGAACTCATTTACAGAAATTAGAGATGCAGGAAAAAAAATTATCAATAAATATTACTCTAGCGATTCATTTTCGTACCTTTTTGTGAAAGCAACACTATAAAAGTGGAAGACGTCACTTCACTCTCGCACACATGTACAAAAATGTATCGATGTGTATTTAACAGTAAAAAGACAAAAAAATCTCAGAAAATGTACGAGAAAAGTGAACGGCTTTGGCAAAAAATTTTTGAAAAACAGAAAAAACAGTATAGTCATAGTAGTAAAAAAAAGAACATTACCTTCTTCCAGCGCATCGTCTCCGTCGCTCATAAGTTCATCGTCCGAGCAAATGTTAAGAACATTCACTAACATTTCCGTAACTATAAAGAAACAAATGAAGATAAAGTTTAGTACTACCAAAAATAACGATAATAATGTATTGACCTGTAAAAAAAGTCATGATATTCAATTTGAAAGCAATGTAAAGTTGTGATGTGTTATAGTTACATGTTATCAAGTAAATGAAACCAATAGTGAATAATTAAATACCTTTTTCGCCAACAAAAGGCAGGGACCACGTGAAAACGTCCATGAAATTGGGTAACCAGTACGGATGTGGCGAGCAATTGAACTGCCTAATGTTCATGACGTTGTTCTCGTATTTAAGCACAGCCGCCTAAATGACCAAAATCACAATTAATCCGCGCAATCTCGCCAACCTCGCTCGCAGTTGTCCCACTCGAACCAAGTTAAAATGTTACATTTTTTTTGTTGCTACAAGTTAAATTGTCGCGCTATGCGGTACCAGTAAAACCTTCTTTTTTTTTTTTTTTTTTTTTGCTCAACATTGCAAACTGTGTACTCCAACACTCCAACATTAAAAGTTCCGTGGCAAATGCACTAGTACACGGACACCAGCGGGGGACAAAAGCTCTGCGATGCAACGTATAAATATTCAGCCGAAGCTGACATTACGACCGCGCGTTTCCATTATATTCCATTAAAATGTTAATCGGCACATGTATGCTCTCTGAGGAAGAAAGCATTAGCATTGCAAATACTTTTGGGCGCACGGAGAGCGAATTCAATGATATCGGGCTCGTGTAGCGCGCGAGGCCAGGAAAAGAAGCTCTGTAAATTCGAACCTTGTTGTTGTAGACGTCGAGGTAATTGGGAGCACTGAAGATGGTTATCAGCGATGGGAAGCCCGTCGTCTGCGACTTGCGGTACATGCGGTATCCGGCGTCCTGTGCCTCGTGTGCCCTAATGATACTCAGCAGATTGTTGTTCTGGAGGAAGTCGCAACACGCCGCGTAACTGTGCAACAATAAATGCAAAACACAATCACACGATCAGACATAGGTATACGAGCTTTGGTATACATGCACTCTGTGTCTTGATCATACATGAAGCCATTTTTTTTTTTTTTTTTTTTTTTTTTTTTTTTTTTTTCCATGCTCTATTGGCGAATTCCATCTTTTACGACCCACGAGTAATCCGGAGTAATCATTATAAATGCTTTTCATACAGAAGGAAATAGTTTCCGTTCCCCTTGTCCGAGTCATTTGATGCAAAACTCGTGATTTTGTTATGTAATTTTTCCATTAGTAGTAAACGGTAGAGGTGTGATGAGTCAAGTGTCGTTTCCCCATCCCCCTATCGCGCACGAGTACAAACATATACCATATTGCGTTTTCACGCCCCAATTAGACAATCGTCTGCCGCAGCGTTATAATTGGCAAAATCGCCGTGCATTGTTCGGAGTATAGTGGGAAGGTGCTCGCGTTACGAAGAATTTTAATCTGTTTAGTGGTAGTTTTTATACTCAGTAAAAATTGTAATTTATTGTACAGTGAAGATCTGTTTGCTCACAATTTACCATATACAAAATGCTAATTTCACAAAATGAAAATCACGTAGAGGTGCCTTATATACATATATACGCATCGGACGGACTGTGCGCGCTATACTATATATTTACACGTATACACGTCCAGCGGCATAATGGCTCATAAACAGGAGGAGGAAACAAATAGATCCAGCGGCCGCAACATCTATTTATAGGTTTAGCTGTCGGTTTGTTCGCGTACTCGGCGAGGTTTTTTTTACATTTCCAAGTTTTGGGTACACGTAGGTGGCTCGTCTATACCGCGCCCACAATGTTTGTCTCGAAGCGCGATTTGGCACTTTTTACGAAAAAAAAAAAACTGTTTGGGAGTGCAAAGCAGCGCCAAACTATATATACCTGCACCGGGTGGCTCTTTGTATTGTAATCCTCTGGAAATTTATTCAGCTTTCAAGGTAAATTTTCGTATACGGAATGCCCACACCCACGTGTATACGTATATACGTAAAATATACGAGAGTCGTGTAAATGTGGAGTTGCCGCGACTCATGGTGATGATGACGAGCTGCGAGAGGCGAGCGTCATAATTTCAATTAGCCGGAGTGGGGCTTCCCCCGGACCGTCTTGGTCATGCATGCGCGAGCTCCGTATTTATGGTTCAGTTATCGTTTTTATCGAAAAGGGATATCGATCCCAACTATGGTACGGTTCAAGATGTTCCGTGGATAAATGGAGGACCTTTCGATGAATCTGTCACAGAAAAGTCAGTACATGTATATGATGCAGGCATCGCGGCGAAATCCCGGGTGCAATCCGCGAGCGCGAAGAGTTTGCACATTTTATTTAACGAGAGAGAGAGAAAAAAGCTCTCTTCCCCTCGGGACCTGTTTCATCCATTGACAGTCCTACGAGGACTCGCTTAAAAATAGCTCGGAGCCCGCATGGGTGCACCGGGGCAAGGACTATGCACGCCTCGTGGACGCACCGGATAACCTTCCCCTGCTCGCAGCCTCTTTTGTGCGGATAAAAGAGATACAGATGGGGGAGGAGCTTCCCTCGTCCAGCGCACGTCAAAGGCAAAACGCGCACACACGCGCGAGCCTCCCGTGCCCCCACCGACGCGCGATCGAAATTCCTTGGTTGCATATTTACATACATCCCTTTATCTCGCGGATCTTTCGGGCTTTTGGATTTTCCGAATGGATTCCGCGCAACTCGTTTCAGGGGCTTCGGTCGTACCTTTCACGGAATTTCATTTTGATCGGCCAATGCACGGGAGCCATGGAATTTTCCCGTTTTCTCTGGAAATGATTATTAATCACGCTTCGCTCCGATCGCGGAGCTTTTAGCTCGCCTCTCCGCTACGTATCGAAATTTCATTTGGATTTTCCGAATAGGGGGAAGGGGGGGGGCTTCAACACCCGCCCCCGTAATACAATAAATGCAGCGGACGAGTTTTCGAGTGATGAACGAGCAAACAAAAAAAAAAAAAAAAAAAAAAAAAAAAAAAAAAAAAAAAAAAAAAAAANAAAAAAAAAAAAAAAAAAAAAAAAAAAAAAAAAAAAAAAAAAAAAAACAAGCGTTTCACAAATAGAGAGAGGGAAAATGAGAAATGACACTGTGACATGTAAATGGGATTACGATGGTTTGATCACTCTCTGATGGGAGTTGGCGCTTACTACAACGAAACGAGAACCATATACCATATATAACTTGGTTAATCTATACCTTTTTATCGGTTATCGTTTTTTCCCCGGACTAGCTTTTTCCACCAAGGATACCGTTCAGGCATCATTTGAGATGTAGGCCAATTATAATGCAATTGTTTCGCGACCGCATACAATTTTCATGCTCATAATCGTGCGCGTGTCGCTATTTTCCTTGGATGTATGAAAGTTATCTGGGACACTTACTAATGCGTTATACGTATCAAACACGTACGAAACGCAAATTTTATGTATTTGCTTGTAAATTAAAACGAATTCATCCCTCTTTCAATACATTGAAAACATTGGTATGTATGTAAGCCTAATCGCTTGAAAAAAATTGATAGATAAACAGCCGAAAGCTTACCTGTAGAAATACGAGCATCCTCGTACGCTGTTGTGGGAAAAGTGCTCGGCGTTTTTCTCGTTGCCAAAGTCCTCGAGCGGATCCGACCAGAGGAGGTCGCACATGGGTCCGAAGGCCGGTGGTTCTTTGAACCTGTCGAGCTACAACACACGGACACACGCCAAATGAAATCTCGGTCCCACATGCCTCGGTCGCGTGTAACTAACGAGGATCATCGGACCGAATCAAAACTCCGATAATGATCATCCCCGGGAAAGCGGCGTTGAATTTTGCGCGCCTCGTCGCCCGATCGATCGTTGTATTTGGTTCTATTTACGGACAAACAATAACGAGCCGGCTACTCTGCTTTTCAATAAGGAATTTAATTAATCACCACTGATCGATGCCTCCGAATCCCTTGTAATTCATGGTCCGCCCGTACAAGGATGGTGGAGCCCTCCTTTGTCCGTTAGCTCGATGATTATTTATAGGGACAAAGCGATACAGAAACGAAAAAAATTAAGTTTAGAGGGAGGGAGGGGAAACCGATAAACGAGGCCGTACAGCAATTGTTCTAGAAATAGCCGGTTAAACAACCATGGCTCATCCACATGGGTAATCTCGGGGAGTCCTGGAATACGTCAATTGGGAGGGAGAGAGCCGCGGTCGTTCAATTGCAGCCGTATACCGTAAATGAAAATAGATGACTAAAAGCGATTTCTTTCCCCCCCCCCCCCCCATCACCGTAAAGAGCTCACCTTGCGTATGTCTTCTAAATTGTGGATTTCCGGCGACAGGCCGCCGTGCACACAGAGGAACTGCTGGTTCATGAGAGCCGCTAGGGGTAAACAGTCAAAGGCCTCCATACACGCGTCGTACACTCTCTCCGAGTATTTGATTCTACCTGAAAACAAAGGGAGGGAGGGAGAGATGGGTATACACGTTCACCACGACCACTAGCACCACCATCAAGTAGACTTACATTCCTGTTTGAATGTGAAGTATTCCGTGAGATGCCGGCACTCGTGGTTACCCCTGAGCAGGTAGAGTGTCGTTGGGTGGCAGAGTTTAAGGGCCCACAGGTACAGCACGCACTGCAACAGTTGCATTTTTTTTTTT